AATACAACAAAATAGCATACATATCAAATCGCATATATATCAACATATGTGTAACTCCGTCTATTGAAAAAAATCCGCATTATTAACCGGTACACCTAGTAAATGGGTACAGCCATTATGGAAAACAGTGTGGAGGTTCCTCCAAAAAATTAAAAATAGAACTACCATATGACCCAGCAATCCCACTTCTAGTCAGTATGTTGAAGAGATAGCTGCACTCCCGTGTTCATTACAGCAGCATTCACAATGCCAAGATATAGAGACCACTGAAGTGTCCCTCAATGGGATGAATGGATAAAGAAGATGTAGCATAAACATATACAGTGAAATGTTACTCTGACCTAAAACAGAAGTCCTGCCACTTACACCATGGATGAGCCTGGAAGTCATTATAACAAGTGAAGTAAGCCAGACAGAGGAAGATCTAGTCCTAGATGGTATCACCTATATGGGGAATCTAAAAAAAAAAAAAATAGTTGATTGTGATGATCATTTCACAGTGTGTGCATATATTAAACCATCACATAGTGAAACTTAAAAAAACCGCGTGCAACCTAAATAGGTACAGTTTTTATCAATCATACTTCAATAAAGCCGGGGGAGGGCGGTGCGGGCAGCTCTCATCTATAAGGCCTTTGGCTTTTTTGTTGTTGTTGTTGTTAATCCTCAACCAAGGATATTTTTCCCATTGATTTTTAGAGAGAGTGGAAGGGAGGCAGGAAGGGGGAGAAAGAGAAAAATCATGTAAGAGAGATATATTGATTGGTTGCCTCCCTCACGTGGCCCCAGTCATGGGGATCGAACCTGCAACCCAGGCACCTGCCCTTGACGAGGAATCAAACCCGAGATCCTTCCGTGCATGGGCCGACACTCTAACCACTCCAGGGTGAGGCCCTTGACTTTTAATACCCGTAATCTCTGCCCTGTCTATGCTCTAACCTTGGCTGATTTCCAGGCCAGGGAACAGGCAGTTTTATCTGCTTCGAACACACTTCCCCCAAATGCTCCCTGCCCTGCTTGCTCCTATTTACCCTTCAGTTTCTGCCTAAATATCACCTGCTCCAGGAAGCCTTCTTTGCTTCTCCTCCCAAAGCAGCCAACATTTCCCCTCTCCTGGCCCTCCTTCTTTCTCCAACCATGACTTAAAACTTCAGAGGGCAGGGACAAATTCCCTTTTACCTATTTCCCAGCCTGGAAAAGCAGGTGCTTACTTGTTATTTGTGGGACAAATCAAGAAAAGGAAGGTTCCATGTATTAAAATGTGTAGGCAGATACTGTTTATTTTGTTATATTCTTTCCATAGCACGATTCCACATCTATTTATTTTCACTTTTATTATTATTATAATTATAATTTTTTTTTTTTACAAAGGTACAAGGAATTTCAGAAACAACATTAAAACAATCAAACTGTTCAGGCACGGTTTCGTAGGAAAAGCATAGCTCAATGTCTGACTTCCTGCGTCCCTCTATGATACTCAAGCTTTGTTCCAGGAAGAACGATTCCTGTAGCGCTAAGGTGAAGATGCCCTAAAGCTCATCTCCCAGTGCTGTCTTCATTCTCGGAAAGTTCCTGAGTCAGCAGCTGGGGTTTCCCAGGGCCTGGAGTAGAAAGACCAGTGCACATTCCGTCGCCCTGAGCGCAAGGGTCTGGCCCTGCAAGTTCCGGGCAAGTCCCACTTCATCAATCAAGAACATAAACAAAAAAGTAATTTTTAAAAAATGGCTTAAAAAAATATCTGATAAAAATTACCTATCCCGCTCCCTTGCTGTGAAATAATTTAAATAATTTATTCTAGATGTAAAAAAAAAGAAAAGAAAAGAAGAGAAACCGTTTGTTCATGATGCCTTCGCATTGTTTCGAAGTATGAGGTCTGGGCCCCTTTGGGGTAGAGAGAGTTTGCGACATCCAGGAAGCTACCCAGACTCAGCCCCACCTCCACCACTTTGTAGCCAGTGCCTACGGGCATGACCATTTCCTTATTCTCTAAGGCTCACCTTCCCTCCTGAACATGGGGGAATCATGCCTGCCTGACCCGAGTGAGAGTAAGATGTGCCAGCGAGTAGAGGTTGGAGGGCTTTGTAAACTGTGAAGTGCTGGCCCCAAATGAGGCAGGAGAGATGACCCCCGTCCAGAATTCTGCTTTCCTGACAACACCTAGGATTTGGTCTTTGGCAAGCGTGGCGGGCCCCAGCAACTGAGTAAATGGTGGCTAAGACAAGCAACTGGGGTGTCTGGTATGTGCAGCAGACAGGGGAACTCAGCCATGGCTAAGAGAGGGCGCCATCAGAGCCCCCATCCTGTGGGAACAGGGCCAGGGGCAGAGACCTGGTGGAGGGCTCAGAGCAAAGCTTCCTGATTTTAGCCTTAGAGGACGTAGCAGACAGAGCTGGAGTCCCAGCACCTGCCTGGTGCTCCTTGTCCTCATCTTTAGTGTAGATGGGCACAGATGGACTAGCCCGAGGGCTCTCCACCCCATGTATTGCAGAAGCACATGGGAACTTACAAAACCCTACACAAGGCCAGGCCCTACTCTGCTGATTCAGCTTCGATTGGTCGGGGTTGGGGCTGGCCTTCTGTGTTTCCTGAATGCTCCCGAAGGGATTCGAATGGACAGCCTGGGCTGAAGCCTACCAGGCCAGGTGGCCTCCTGCAGTCCCCATCCTAGCTCCAGCATTACCCTCTGCAAGGAGCAAACATCCTTGGTCAGGAGGCACATTTGCCTCTAGCTGAGCCATTGTATTGACCACCAAGAGAGAACCTCAGAGAAGGGCTCAGAACACAGATTCACAAAGGAGGGATGCAGAAAACGCTCAGGTTGGAAGGGAACTTTAGGGCCATGTGGTCTCGCTTCCTTGCCTAGTACAAGGCACCTCCTCCCAAAGCTCTCACGGCTGGGCCATCAGGGGGTTCGCGGGCAATCTGTCCACACTGGGCTCCCTACATCCTGGGAGCCTCTTCTGTTACCTTGGACGGACATCTGCCTACGTCATCCTGGGAGAGGCAGGCTCTGTGACCTGAGGGCTTTGGTGGCTGTCGGGTCTGAGCAATGCCCTGAGGCCCGTGTCCCACATCAGGGAGTATCTACCCACCTGGGCTGATTCTGGCTGGAGAGAGGATGGTGGTGTCCTCCTCCCTGTATTCTAGAATCGGGCTGGACCTTGACTTCTTTCCCTGAAGTTAACCTCCCTCTTCCACTTTGCCAATGTCCTGTGAGTTCCCAGCGCAAAACCAGCTCACCACCCTACAGGTAATTTTCCTTAGGCCAAGGCCAACATTTCTTGCCTCCAGTGGTAGATCCCAGGGCCTCCTTGTTCAGATGGAGAAATTGAGACCAGAGAGGGAATGACTGGAGGCCACTTCAAATCAGGGATGCCCCTGAGGCCAGAACCAACGGATTCCTGCTCTGTGGGCTGAGATCTGTATCAGAGCAGAAACAGCAGACAGACAGACAGTCCCAGGAGAGCAGAAGCTCAGCCCAGCCACGAACTCTCTGGGGACCTGCATCGTGTACCTCTCTCTGGGCCTTAGTTTCCCCACCTGTAAAATGAGAAAGTTGGGCCAATCACTGGTTTTCAAACGTCTAATTTTTTTTGAGTTGCAGAATTGTGTATTCCATCAAAGTCCATATGTATAAAACAGAAAGGAGAGCTGTCCCGTCGGAAGGGGGTGAGGGGGTACAGCCTCCTGCTTAGCCAGCCCCTTTCTATAGACCACAGTTTGAAAATCACAGGCAGGTTTACCTCCTAGGTCCTTGTAGCTCTAACTGTCTACAGTGTTCTTTCCCTTGGGAAGTGAGAGCTTATCACGTACCCTTACAAACAGAATCAAACAGAAGGCAAGGTGTCATCTAAAAAGAGTCAGTTCAGACACCGTTGTTTCGAGAAGGCAAATAGAAAGCGGCACCATGTTCCACTGGAAACCTGCGGCGACTGAGTTTCTTTTTCTGGTAAAAAATATAGAAATAGTGGTTGTTCTCGGGGGACTTGTGGTTTGGCTCTGGACCTCCCCATGGAGCCGAGTGGTGTCCCTGAGGGCGAGGAGGGCAGAGACCTCTGCTCAGGACCATTCTGAGCTCATCCGCAAGTTTTTGATCTCCAGTTCCAACTGCTTGGCCTGGACCTCGCGCTGGGTCACCAGCTCCCGGAGTCTTCGGATCTCCTCCTGTTGCCGATAGAACATCTGCAGCAGCTGGAAGAGCACAGGGCAGAGGGAAAGGTAACGTAAATGCTGTGGGACTTGAGGGGGCAGGACCCCAGCAGAAAGGAGAAAACATTGTTCCTTTTGGACTCAGAAAGGTGGAGGTGATTAAATTAACGTGGCTGAGGCCTACGGGGACAGCCATTGCATTGATCTTTTACAAAAACCTTGTTTCCTTCACCTAGTAAATGAAATTAAAAGACTTGACATTTCAGACTTTGTGTGTGTGTGTGTGTGTGTGTGTGTGTGTGTGTGTGTGTGTGTGTATGTTTTTTGTTGTTTTTTTTTGTCTCCTTAGATGCCCCCATGGGACTGAGGAAAGGATATTTGGCCTGGTGTCTGGAGACTGGAGTTTTCACCACCACTACACTGTGTGACTTCAGGCAAGTTACTTTCCCTCTCTGAGCTTTAACTTCCTCCTCTGGGAAATAGGGTTCAGAAAACTAATGTCAGCATTATCACAGCTGCTGCCACTGTGCAGAAAGGCACCAGGTGCTGGGTGCTCCCCTAAGTAAGGATCTTCGTTATCTCCCTGGAAGCTCACAGCGGCCTGTGAGGGTCGTGGTGTTAGTGCCCCCACTTTACCGCGATGGAAACTGGAGCTAAGAGAGACTTGGCCCCTGGGGCCAGCGTCCTCCAGGCAGTGCTCAGAGAGCCAGGATGAGAATCCCTCGGTGAGAGGGCAGCCCTTGAGTTTTTAGCCACTATCCACTGACTCCCAGGGCTGCTGAGAGAACGCACACAGGTGATACATCAGTGCCCACTGTGGGACCTGGCACACAGCCGGCACTTAACAAATGTTGGCTCTGAAAGCACAAATACAGCATCAGAACTGGAGGGGCGCTAATTCCCACCAAGTAAAACCCTCTTCATTTTACAGGTGGCTTTCCACCCTCTGTATGCAAGCCCACCGCCAGGGCATACAGACGGTGCTCCCTGCCTGTTTGTTGAGTGAATTAACCAAGTGAATTGCCAGTAAGTAGCTAGCCAGGTCACACAGCTGGTGGTTTTTCTCACCCCTCATGTCTCTACCCCTTCTCCACGCCCACCCCAGTGCAGGCACCCCCACCCTCCTTCCCACCTCGTTCTCTGTCTTTGGTGGGGGGCATTCAAAGATGTCAAAGCCGTTGGTGAGCCAGGCTTTCTTCTCCTCCAGCCTGTGCTCCGCCGTCCACCTTGGCGCCTTCTCCAGCGGAGAGAAGGGCCTCCGGCCGTCGTCCGCAACCAGCGCTTCGGTCTGGTCCACGAGGTGAGGCGAGGCGGGGGCCAGGGAGTTGGAGGGAGGTCTTTCCGGGGGCAGAGGCCGAGGGCTCAGCAGCTCGGAGCCGGGCCTCAGGGACACCAGGACAGGCCCTGGGAGGGAAGCAAAGGCCGTGTGAGGACTGAGTGCCCATCAGCACATGGGCATGGGGGCACTGGCACAAGCGGGCATGTGCAGACACACAGACACGCAAAAGGTGTGGGAGCTTCGGCCACATGCAGACAGGCACAAGCCCATGGACCAGGGCACTCAGAGTGCGAATCAGGGTCCCGCGCAGGTGACCATCTAAGGAAGCCTGGTTTGTAGGAGCAGCACGGTGCATGCCCTGGAGCTGCCCGGTTCCGTGAGCTCCTCAGGGAAGTGTTGCCATTGCTTTGTGGGGACAGTCCCACCACACCGCCCTGCCATCCATCAGTTCACGAATTCCCCCCAGCATGCTGGGTAGCAGGGGAGGCAGGCTCACAGAGAAGGGTGAGGAAACTGAGGCCCAGGGAGGAACAAGACTGTCTATGGGTTATACACAAGCGGGGTTTAGGGGGTAGAAGGAGAGGGAGATCCCAATCAGAAAGGCAGCAGCTGGACTGAGGGTGGGGAGCACCCACGGCCTTCCCTGGGTTGGCCCTCATGTTGACAGGACAGGCAGGGTGAGTCAGGGCGGGCAGAGGGCACCCAAGGGCCTGGGTGGGGGCTGCTGCCTAGAGGGCCTCTGGAGTGACTGGAGGTGCAGGTGGGAGGATAGGCATAGGGTCCAGCTGACACTATCCAGTCACTCTGCACAGCCCAGAGCTTAGTAGTTTTCCATGGAGCAAAATCCCTTGACTTGGAGGGAATGTTCTGAGCCACTCGGGGCAAGTCCCTGCCTTCCTGGACCCTATCTGACCGCCCCGGGCGGAGGTGGGGCTGGGGTGGGGGGACTGATGGTGAAGGACCAGTCCTCGGGGTTTCAGGAGAATACAAATACGGTCCAACCCCCTCTCAGCCATCTGGGCCATAGGACACGCCATTTCCCCCCCACATTCGCCCGCGCAAGGCTTCTTCTGGGCTTTCCTCACCTTTATTTACCCCACTGAGCCACTCCCTGGCCGTTAGAGAGGGCTGGGCCCCTGCCGTGGGCGGGTAGATGTCCTCTTGGTAGGATTCCGACTGCAGGAGAAGTCAGGACAGTGAGAAGTGGGTGGTGGGGAGGCCGCCCATGGGAGGGCCCTTAGAGAGCTGGGGGTCAGAGAGCAAAGGGTCATGCCCAAGGTCATCACACAGCAACTCAAGAGCAGAGGTGAGGCAAGAGGCGGGACTCCTAGCTCCCAGGATGCCTCACTGACCACGGAAAGGCCTGCCCCTTGAGGAAGTGGCCACCAGCCTCCCTGTTGCTGCCTCGGACGTGGGCTCCAGGCTCCGGGGATAGTCTTCTGGGGAAGGGTTCCCGCCTCCCTGCAGACCCCCCACCACTCTTACCCGCCGGGGGACAATCATGGATATCGGCTCGATGAGGCTTTTGGTTGTGATCAGCTTGTAGAAGCGGAAGATCTCACAGGTGGACACGTCGAGACCTCTCTTTGGCATGAAACCTGCGGGCAGATGGTCAATTAGGGCCAAGTGGTTCCAGCTGGGCTGGGGCCACAGGGCCCGGTGTAAGTGGCAAAGCCAGGCTACACACCTGGATGTAAACAGACACCACCTCCTCCCCCCATCCTTCCCGTCAACAAGCAGTTCATGCAGGAACACCTCCGCTGGGCCAGGCCCTGTGCTGGGGAAATGGGGTTGAAACCCTCAGACCCTGGCCCCGCCTTCAAGAATTTACATGATTTTAGCTGGACTTCTGCAGGAAGTGTGCTCTGCTCCAGGCCCTGCCTCGCCATCCCCACAGCTCCTGCCCCAGATGCCCTAACGGAGCATGCCTGCCTTTCTTTTGCTTACTGTTAGCATGGTACATCTTTCTCATCCCTTTACTCGTGATCTAGCTGAGTCTTTCTGTTCAAGTGGGTTTCTTGTAGGCAGCATGTAGTTGGCTCTTGTTTTGTTCTTTTATCCCCAAAGACACTGCAAAAGCAGGGCCTCTTAGGTCAGTCTCTCCCCTCTCCGTGCTACTGTTTAACCCAGTGGTTCTCAACCTTGGCTGCACATTAGAATCACCTGGGAATCTTTTTTTTAAAATCCTGATTTCTGGGCCTCATCCTCCGGAAATTCCGTTTCTTTGTTATGGGGTGGGGCCACAACTTTAGTAACAAAGAAACAGAATTTCCGGAGGATGAGGCCCAGAAATCAGGATTTTAAAAAGATTCCCAGGTGATTCTAATGTGCAGCCAAGGTTGAGAACCACTGGTTTAACTGCTTAACCTTGGCCTAGAACACCTTCATTTTCTCCCACGCTGTGCTCTGCCTCCTCTCTCCATCCCTCAAATGTTGCCTCGTTCAGGAAGCCGCCCAGAGAGCCTCCTGCACACCTAACCAGAGCTCCCCCGAGCCAGGCTGTTCACCCACCAGCTCCCCTCCCGAATGTGGGCCCCTCCAGGCGGGGCCGGAACCTAACATCCCTGTCCCCCCAGGTCCCACGCGGCCTGGGTGCCCCACACTCACCGATCCCCTTCTGCGGATGGTAGGAGCGGTACTCCGTCAGGTAGTTCAGGTGAGGCTTGTCGGCGCTCACCTCATAGTAACGGATGTTCCCGTCTCCCTGAGGGGGAGGAGGGTGTGTTCAGAGCTGGTCCCCAGCAGCCCCACCTGCCCCCTCTGCCATGCAGCAGGAACCTGTGTTCACCTACCACACACAGGGAGCACCAAGGAACTGTCACCAAGGCAGTAGGAGGGGCCTCATTTTAACACTCTGTCCCTGCAACCATGACCCAGAGCCCACCCGGTGTCTCCAAGGCAGAAGCTCTGGGGCACAGGCTGGAACCCCACCCCCGTCCAAGAGCTGCACACAAGGGCCAGAGTGGCGCGTCCTGAGACCAGCCAGTGGGTCTCACCTCTAGGCGCATTTCTGTCACAGTGACTGTGCGGGGCAGGGTGGGGGGTGTGTGCTGTGGGCACGGATGGGTAGGGCCAGGATGGGTAGGGCCAGGGCTGCCAGAGACGGATGGGAGACCTACCCAATGAAGACCTGCTCTGCCCCCAATCTGAAGGTGCCCCTGTGAGACACACCCACTGGTCCCTCCTCATCTGGACCCAGAGGTGGGGGAGGGGGAAACCAGTGCAGGGTGTTTAGCCTAAGCCCTGGGCCCAGGTGCTCTTGGGAGCCAGGAAGGTGGGAGAAAGGGGCTGTCCCTGTCCCTGCCTTGCACCCCAAGGGCCCCAGGCTCCCGTCTGGCCACCAGTAGGGCTAGGCTTAGGGGAGTTCTGCCTCCTGCCTCAGGATTCCATGAGGCCACCTTCCTCCCAGCCAGACTGACCTTCCCCACCACGTAGAGCATGTTGGTGTCGGAGTCATAGAAGGGAAACAGCACGCCGGAGGAGCCGTCCAGGTCCTCCTCTGTGAGAGGCACGGAGAGGTCGTCCTGCAAGGGAAGGGGGCCGGGTCACTCCTGGGGTCCTCGGTGGTGCTCTCTGAGCTAAGAATTCCTGCCACGGGGCTCTGGATGGGTGTGTGTGTGTGTGTGTGTGTGTGTGTGTGTGTGAGAGAGAGAGAGAGAGAGAGAGAGAGAGAGAGAGAGAGAGAGAGAGACTGTGTGTATGTGAGTGTGTGGGAGAGAGAGAGTGCACCACCTCATATTTTGCAGCATTTTGCCTGTAATGAATGACTTCTCACACACCTGATCTCACCCCAGCCTTTCGCCACCTGTTTTGTTATTTATTCTCATCGATGAAGAAGGAGATTCAGAGAGAAGGAAGTGATCTGTCTGGTCTTTGAAACTCCGGCCAAGTTCTCCTTGAATCAACACTGCTTGACCTGCCCCTCCCT